GTACATGGTGAATACTTAGTAGGTGGTGGTAATGATGATGATGATGGCATAAAAATATCTCACACAGGTCTTGCCATACAGTTACTAGATTTTCATGCAAAGACACACATGTACAACAGGTAAGTATTTTTTTATTTTTTATTTTTAACTGTATGGCATGATGATTATTTCGATTCATTCAGTGGAAGTGAATCATCATAAAGGTCTTCATCCATGTTGGATTTCATGTTGAATAGGCTGAGGAGGAGAAAAAGGAGGGATTGGTCTTGCTTTCTCAGGAGTGGTAGGTAGAGGTGGAAGAGGTGGAAGGGAGGGCAGTAGAAGCAGGCACACTTGTTATAACTTCACGTACATGCATTGTAATTTCAGTCTGACTTTTTCTCTTTCTCAAAAATGTTTCTGTACAGTACCAGTCATTCTTCTACCATTTGCTTTAGTTTTTAGTGCTTGGATCATGGAAAGGTCCACGTTGTAGAAGAAAGCAGGCTTGAGTAATCAGAACCCTTCTGCCAGATTGTTTAATGTCAGTTTGTTTTCTGACACTGCTTCTCTGTCTTATTTTTCATTGTCTGGCATTGACTCAGAAGCACTCATCTCCGTCAAGCCATCTTCTGTTAATTTCTCTGTTGTGGTATCTATTAGCTCTTGAATTTCTTCAAGATCCGTGTCTTGAAAGCCTTAATTTCCCACCTATTTTATCTGTTTCGTGATTTCTGTAATTTCTTTGACTGGCTCTGTCGTTAATCCTGTGACAGAATTATGCATAACATCTTGACACAGTTTTCTCCAGCGGGAATTTATTGTTTCTGGGTTGATGGTTTTCATAGTTTTTTTCTGTAACAATGATGGTATGTTCAGTGGTGTAATCCTCTACACTTTCATGATGTTCTTTCTTTTGGAGTTCTGTTCCTTTATATTTACAATGCTTTCATAGAGAACCATGAAAAATGAGTCTTAAAGATCCTTATGACCTCTCGATCTAGAGGCCGACTTAGAGACATTGTATTGGGGGGCAGGTAAGCCACTTTGATATCTTTGGTGTCCCAACTCATAAGATTCTAGGTGGTCAGGAGCATTGTTCAGTATCAAAAGCACTTTGAAAAGCAGTCCCTTACTGGCAAGGTACTTCCTGACTTCAGGGACAAAGCATCAATGCAGCCAGTATAGAAAAAGCATTCTCTCGTTCAGCCTGTTCTACAACCAGAAGTCTGGCTGCTGATGGTTACCTTTTTCCTTCAAGGCCTGGGGGTTAGCAGCCTTACAGATAAGGACAGTTCTGATCATACACCTGATTGCATTTGCACAAAACAATAGTCAGCCTATCCCTTCCTGCATTAAATTTGGTGCTCGTTCCTCTTCCTTACTAATAAATATCCTGTGTGGCAATTTTTTTCCAGAGTAGGATACATTTGTCTGCCTCTTCAGGCAGATATCCTTTCTTGTCAGTGATTTTCCTGATGGTGCTTGGGAACTCATCTGCTGCCTCTCGGTTGTCAGAAGCTGCTTCTCCTGTTATCTTGACATTTTTAAAGCCAAACCTCTTTCTAAAATTATCAAACCATCCTGTGCTGGCATTAAATTCTTCAGCTTTATATCCTTCATCTTCCTTTGCTTTAAGTTGTCATGTACCATAATGAGACTTTGCTTTTTCTCAAATCAATCTAGAGTCTATAGGTAGGCCATTCTTATGACCATTTTGTACCCACATACACGCTGTATTTCCAAATCCAGAAAGAAAAATATTTCACAAAAAGTTTGAACTTTTTGCTCCCCTGCTGGTGTAGCTGCAGCAACAGCTTAGCAAATTTGCTTTTTTTTCTTTTCCCTTCCCTTCCCTTCCCTTCCCTTCCCTTCCCCCATTACTTCCCATGGTCCTAATATTTTTATTTATTTCTAGGAGAGAGAGAGAGAGAGAGAGGCAGCGTGAGCAGGGGAGGGTCAGAGAGAGAGGGAGACACAGACTCTGAAACAGGCTTCAGGCTCTGAGCTGGCAGTCAGCACAGAGCCCGACGCGGGGCTCGAACCCACGAACCTCGAGATCATGACCTAAGTGAAAGTCGGACGCTTAACCGACTAAGCCACCCAGGCGCCCCTCAACTTTTTCTTTCTAATGTCCTGACTTTTTGCTGCTGCTTGAGGAGCATTTCCAGAATCACCAGTGATACTTCATATGGGTCCCATGGTGTGGGAAGTTTATGTTACTGCACAAAACATGGTGGGAAAATATGTAAGAACCACGAGAGATCAGTTTTTACTGTGCTACACAATTTTCTGGAGATGATTACCTTCAAATGATTTTTTAAGTGGATGCTCGCAACACTTGAGCTCACTGTAATAGCAGCAAGAAGTGGCTGCAAAATCATTACAGTAGTATACTGTGTACTATAGTTAATTTATGCAGTTATGATTTATTATTACATCTTTGCATTTGTTTACATTTCTCTTGACTCTGAGTGGCACCATGTATGGTGTGGAAGTGTTTGTAAGTTTTGATAAATTGTAACTTTTTGTAATAAGATTTTTATATATTTTATAGGAGTAAATAATAAAATTGGACTAGCATCTACATATATTTTATGTGTTCATGACAGACCTTTTTCTCAATTTTTTTTGTTATTTTTAGGCTACTTGGTTTGTCTGCAAGGTTTTTCATACTGTCACAAATCTCCAAGAAGCTTTCTAATATGCTTTCTTAAAAAATTCCATGTATAAGGGGAGTTGCGCAGTTCAAACCCGTTGTTGTTCAAGGACCAACCATAATTTAAAAAATCTAAAAACTTTATTTTTTAATTTCTCTGATAGTAAGATTGGACATTGTTTCATATCTTTATTTTTCATTTACATGTACCCCCAGCCTGTTTATGCTATTTACTGGATATTCCTAAAAAAATATTTCTCCAATAGGTTTGCACATGGGAGAGGAAGTAGTGGGCTGGTTACCCTTTTGGATAATGGTTTAGACAGGACTTTGAGTTCTTATACAGGGGATATTACCTGAGGAGCCAAGTGAAGAAACATTATGGTATAGATTGTAGGCAGATCAGAGTTAGAGCAGGCCTGGTTACAGAATACTTTCACATGGTGCTTTAATATGTGAGTAATCAGGTGAATTAAAGTAAGACCCATTCTGAGAGAGGTCTAGACTCCACAAGGTTTTAAGTGCTTGTTCTGGGCATCAGAGCTCCTAGAAGTGTTTCGTAGGTCGATATTTTTAAATTTTGAGTTAATGTATATGGTTTTTAAGGCTACTTATTTGTTTTATACATCTATAGAATCAAAACATTTAATTTATAAATTACATTTAAATTTTGATTTTTTAATGTAGAGAATGGCTATTCCTGAAAGTATGGTAAAATGATTTAATTCATTTTATGGACATGTTTATCTTTCTGTGATACTTGTGTTGAAATCTAAGAAGGCACTTGCATGTGAGTTTCAATAGTGTGTCACTTTGTAATTCTGTGAAGATGTCTTGTTTCATATTATGATGATAAGTGCCCCATGTGTTATTTGCTCTTTACTTACAAGCAACTGTACTTGTGAATACAAAACACAAATGTGGGCTTTAAAATTATTCTGATCATCTATAATGTGCTTATTAACTTTTTAAATATGTATTGAAATGAAAGCCCAAAAATCTTGTATAGAACTTGTTAACTTCCACAAGTAAGTCTTCAGGCTCCATTTTGAGAATCACTGTGTTACCCATCAATAAAGATATGTGTTTCTATAGCTTTTATATAAAATTCAACAGATTTAAAATTGCTCTTTTAGATCATAGTAACTTTTATAAACTAGTAATAAATAGTTCACAGACTGTTAACTGGTTGATGGATATACTTTGTATATCCAATGGATAGTAATTTAAGAATGAAGTATGCAGAAAAGTAAAATGATAGAGGAATCCGAAAAAGGCAAATACAAATGGATAAGATAAGTAAAAATAAAGACTGAGAGAACACTGAAAAGTGATGTTAGCTGAAAAATAAAGATTTACTATAACTCATGGGAAAATCTAGCAAAGAGCCAAAAAGAAGATGCTATGGTGTTTAACTTTTAGTAAAATGTAACTAAAGAAATAAATACACAATAATTTTAAATGTTAAGTGATAAGGATATAGTAGAAAAAAGATTTATTTTCCATCAGCATATTCCACTTAAATTATCATGCAGTATGATTCAATTAGACTTTCCTGGGACCTTCATTCTCCGCTAATGCCTCTGTGTGGAATCACAGATGCCTACATATCAAATGTTCCAGAGCAGAGTGTTGACATTTACAGACAGATAGATTTGACTTTTTTTTAAAATTTAAATTTAAATTTTTAATTTTAGAGCATGAACAGGGGATCAGGGTAGAGGGAGAGAGAGAGAATTCTGAGTAGGGTCCACGCTTAGTGCAAAGCTACATGTGGTGCTTGATCCCATGATCCTGAGATCATGACCTAAGCCAAAATAGTCAGATGCTCAGTTGACTGAGCCATGCAGGCCTCCTGATTTGACATTTTATTTTTTATATTTTTTAAATGTTTGTTTATTTTTGAGAGAAAGAACATGAGTGGGAGAGGGGCAGAGAGGGAGAAAGAGAATTCGAAGCAAGCTCTGTGCTAATTGCACAAACCTCGAGGTGGGGCTCCAGCTCACAAAGTATGAGCAGAAGTAGGATACTCAACTGACTGAGCCACCCAGGCGCCCCCTGATTTGACATTTACAAGGCAGCAGTATGTTTTTAGAAGTTCAGTACTTGTAAACAGAAATCAGAGTCCTTCAGCAAAGGATGCTGCTAAATCAGGATTGAATTTTTAGGTGTATGATATGTAAGTTTATATGATGAATCTTAGATATCACTGATCTATTTTAATTATTCGGGACAGAAAACCTTTTCTTTCTTTTTTTTTTTTTTTTACTTTATGTGTATTTTTTCTAAGGTCAAAAAAGATCTTTTCTGTCTACTCCTAGACATTGTAAATATGCTAACTTTTGCGTATTTTCCTTTGTAGGCCCAGATTATTCCTCATCAGCATGGTTACCTGGTAATGAATCATTGTGGCAGGCCACAACCGTTCCCTCTAACCATCGAAATAATCATATCAGGAGACATAGTATAACTTCTGACAGTGGTGACACCGGCATTGGAACTTCCTGTTCTGACAGCGTGGAAGGTGAGCTGAAATTCTTAGTGTTTAGACATGAGCCTTCAGAGAATGGTTGTGATTGAGTATATTTAAGGGGTGTATTCTGTTCTAAAATAAGAAATTATAAAGTAGTGTTTGAATATTTAATAATGTTCAGTGTTATTATACATCAAATAAAATTCTCTGCTCATGTAAGTTTTTCGCTCAGTTACTTTTAAACTATTTATTTTGAGGTAATTGCAGATTCACATCCAATTTTAAGAAATAGAACAGTGTTTTTGTGCATTCTTTATTCAGTACCTCCAACCCCTACCCATGGTAATATCTTGCAGAACTCTACAGTATGGTCTCACAGCCAGGATATTGATACAATTAAAGTACAGACTGTTTCTGTCACCACAGTATACACCTCATGTTGCTCATGCTCCCTCTATCCCACTTAACTCTTGGAAACCACTAGTCTAGTCTCTGTTTTTATAATTTTGTCATTTCAAGAATGCTGTATAAGAGGAATCCTACAGTTTGTAACCCTTTAATATTGGCTTTTTAGTTTTTTGATGATTTGTCAAGGTTGTTGTGTATATCAGTAGTTCATTTCTTTTATTGCTAAGTAGTATTCGGCATTGGTGGTATTAGGTAGACCACATTTGGCTTAACCGTTTACCCACTGAAGGATATTTGGATTGTTTCAGTTTTGGCTATTGGGAATAAAGCTGCTGTAAGCATTCATGTACAGGTTTTGGTATAAACATATGTCTTCATTTCTCTGTGGTAAACATTTAGGAACGCAGTAGCTGGTTATATGGAAGTTGTATGTTTCGTTTTTAAAGAACTTGTCACACTGTTTTTCAGGGTGATTATTTCAGACAGCAGTGGAAATAAGGAACATTGTGAATGATCTAGTTTTTTCTTCATTCTACTTAGTTTTGGTGGTTTTTTTAAAAGTATTTTTCTTTTATGTGGAAACTAATTTGACAATAAACTATTTGTAAAAAAAAAAAGTATTTTTCTTTTAATTTTTTTCATGTTTTATTTACTTTTGAGAGAGAGAGAGAGAGAGACAGAATGTGAGTAGGGGAGGGACAAAAAGAGGGAGATAAAGAATCTGAAGCAGGGTCAAGGCTCTGAGCTGTCAGCACAGAGGCTGACACTGGGCTTGAACTCATGAACCGTGAGATCATGACCTGGGCTGAAGTCAGACACAACCTATTGAGCCACCCAGGTGCCCTGTGTTGATGGTTTTTAAATTCTAGCCTTTCCGATGAGAATGCAGTGGTATCTCACTGTGATTTTAACTTTCATTTCCTTAAAGATTAATAATGTTGGACAATTTCTTCACATGCTTATTTTCCATCTGTCTTTTGCCCATGTTTTCATCAGATTATTCCTTTTATTTTACTGTTGAGTTGTGAGAGTTCTTAATATATTTTGGATACTAATCCTTTGCTGGTTATATGGTTTGCAAATATATTTATTCTTCCACTCTGTTGTTTGTCTTTTCATCCTCTAACAGTGTCTTTGCAGAGCAGGAATTTTAAAATTTGACGTTTAGTGTATAGTATCTTCCTACATGGATTGTGCTTTTGGAGTCAAGACTGAGAACTCTTTGCCTAGTCCCAGATTTTGAAGATTTTCTCTTTTTTCCTTAAATTTTTACCATTTTTTTCTTTTCCATTTAATTCTATGATCCATTTTTGAGTTAAATTTTTATAGAGTAAGTGTGTTTGGGTGTCCCCAAGACCACCCTTCATCTCAGTAATTTGCTTTAAAGGAATCACAGAACTCAGTAGAGCTGTCATACTAATAGACTCAGCAATAGAAAAAGCAGCAAAGGGCAGGGTCTAGGAGACACTAGGCCCCGACTTCCAGTTGTCTTCTCCCAGTGGAGTTGAGTGTTTAATTCTCCCAGCAATGATTTGTGATAGCACATACAGAGTATTGCTAACCAGGCAAGGGTCCATCCAAGCCTTGGTGTACAGGATTTTTTTATGGGTTGATTATGTTGGCATGGTTAATTCCCTGTGTGGATTACCTTACTCTCTAGCCCTTGAGAGATCAAGCTGGTATCACAAGATTCAAGCCTCTCTCCATAAATCACATTATTAGCATAGACTATATGAAGTGACCCAAGCTCCCCAGGTAAACAAAGACACTCTTATTAAGCGGGATATTCCAAGGGTAGAGGTTACCTCTTAGGAGCCAAAAAACGAGGGTCAACCTGTCTTGGAATGTACAAGATGTTGAAAACTGAGACATCTTGACTTAATCCTTTTGTACAACTAAGATTGAAGTTCATTATTTCCAGTTCATTTTTTCCAATTTTAGGATATGTGCTGCCGAAGCGAGCACATATTTTCTTCTTTTTCAAAACTGTTTTAGCTGTTTTCATTCCTTTGCTTTTCTATGTAAGTTTTAATAATTTTGTCTATATCTATCAAAAATTTTGCTGGGAATTTTATAGGAATTGTGTTATCCATATATCCAGCTTGGGCAGAATTGACGTATTTACTCTCTTCAGTCTTAAAGTCTGTTAATGTGGTATAGTTCTCCATTTATTTCGATTTTAACTTTATTCACCAGTGTTGTACATGTTTTTGTAGATTTATACCTGAATATTTCATTTTTTCTTTCTTTTTTTTTTTGAGCGATTTTCAGTGGCATAGTATTTCCAATTTGGTGTCCATATGTTGTTATTACATACAAATAAAATAGATTTTTGTATATTTTGTGACATTGCTGAACCCACTCTTTAATTCTACAAGGTTTTTTAGGTAGATCTCTTGGAATTTACTCTATACATAATCATGCCATCAGTAAATAGGAATGTTCTTCCTTTCCAGTCTGTATGCCATTTATTTTCTTTCCTTCACTTGCTGCAGTGACCAGACCATCCAGAACAGTGTGTGTTGAAGATTAGTAGTAGGAGTGGACAGTCTGCTCTTTTTCCTGATCTTACAGATGAAGGGCTTAGTCTTCAACTGCTAAGTAGCTGTGTAACAACTGTTAGCTGTAGGTTTTTCGTAGATGCCGTTTATCAATTGGAGAAAATTTCTCTCTAGTCTTACTTTGCTGAGATTTTTTTTTTTGGATGGATGATTATTAGATTTTGCAAATGCTTTTTCTGCATCACTTGATAAATGATATTCTTCTTTAGCTTGTTGATATGGTGGCAGGTTTCATTGCTTGATTTTTCAAATATTGAGCCAGCTTTTTATCCCTGGAATAAACTTCACTTGGAATTTTTCTGTGTACCCATAGGAATATTGGTCTGTAGTTTTCTCTTTTGGGGAGAACTATCTTGTCCTGTTTTGATGTTAGAATAATACTAGCTTTATAAAATGAATTGGAAAGTATTCTCTCCTATTTTCTGGAAGAGAAATGTATGGAGTGATATTAATTCTGTAGATGTTTGGTAGAATTCTTTGGTGAAATAATCTGGGACTAGAGATTTCTTTTTTCATAGTTTTAACATAATGAATTCAGTTTCCTTAATAGTTATAGGGTTATTCAAATTATCTCTTTCAAATTGAATGAATTATGATAGTACCTGCTCAGTCCCCAGGGAAGTGGTCTTTTGTGTCTTAGTTGTCAAATTTATGTGTGTAGAATTGTTTATAGCATTTCCTTACTATCTCTTGATGTCTGCAGCCTCTGTTGTGATATACCTTGTTCCATTTCTGGTATTGGTAATTTGTGTCACCTTTTCTTTATTTTTTAGTCTTGGTAGCAGTTTTTCAATTTTATTGATCTTTCAAAGGATCAGTTCTTTGTTTCATTAACTTTTCTCTTTTGTTGTCTGCTTTCGGTTCAGTGATTTCTGTTTTTTATTATTTCTTTGCTTTGGGTTTATTTCTCTCCTCTTCTAAATAGGTGGTTAGTGAGATTATTTCTAAATAAGGTGAGATTAAGCTGGTTAGTGATTTGAAACTTTCCCTCTTTTAGATGTATGTATTTGGTGCTGTACATTTTTCTGAGCACTGTTTTGGCTTTGTCCCACGAATTTTGGTATGTTATGTTTTCATTTCTTTTCTTTTCTTTTCTTTTCTTTTCTTTTCTTTTCTTTTCTTTTCTCTTCTTTTCTTTTCTTTTCTTTTCTTAATTTATGTTGAGATTTCCTTTTCACCTCAGTTATTTAGTAGTTTGTTGTTTAGTTTCAAAGTGTTTGGTGTTTTTCTGCTCTCCTTCTATTAATTCAAGTTTGGTTTCATTGTAGTCAGAAGCACTATGATTTCAATTCTTTTAAATCTTTTGAGGTTTCTTTTGAGGTTTATCAGCCTATGTTTATTTGGTATATCTTTTGTGGGCACTTGAAAATAATGTGTATTTTGCTGTTGTTGGGTTAAGTGTTGTATAAACGTTGATTAGATCCCATTGATGGATGGTGTTTTTTCCTGTATCTTTGATTTTCTATCTAGTTATTCAGTCATTTGTTGAGAGAGCAGATTTTTAAAGTCTCAGCTATAATTGTGGATTTGTGTTCCTTGGTTGGTTCTTTAAATTTTTGCTTTATGTATTGTAGTTCTGGTGCTTGGTGCATACACATTTAGGATTGCTATGTATTCTTGGTGGATTGGCCTTTTTAACATTATATAGTATGCCTCTCTCTCTGATAATTTTCTTGTACTGAAGTCTGCTTTATCTGATATTTATACAGGTACTCTGGCTTTCCTTTGATTAATGTTTAAGTGGTAAATGTTTTCTACATTTTTACTTTCAACCACTGTATCTTTTTAGTTGAAGTTAGTTTTGACAGCATGTAGTTGGATCATGATTTACAATTCACTCTGCTGATCTCTGTCTTTTAATTGTTATATTTAGACTATTTACATTTAATGTAATTGCTAATTTATTGATATGTAAGTTCTCTGTCCTCTTTCTGTTTTCATATTCCTGCTTTCCTTTGTATTACTGGAACATTTTTAGAATTCCACTTGGATTTATCTATAATTTTTTTTTTAGAAAGTTTATTAGAGTACATGTGCATATGCACGTGTGAAGAGGGAAGGGCAGAGAGAGAGGAAGATTGA